GGGGACCATATGGGATGTTGGGAATTGAACCCGGGTCAGCCATGTGCAAGGCAAGCGCCCTACCCACTATGCTATTGCTCTAGCCCTAATTAATTAACTTTATTTTTAAATTTTGTAATGAAACACCATGAGATAGAATTACAGACTTACACACTTTTGTGATGACATTTCAGTCATACAATGATCGAGCACCCCTCCCCCCACCAGTGCCCATTCTCCGTCACCAATATCCCAGTACCCCTCCAGCCACCCCCACCCCTTCCTACCCCCTGCCTCTGTGGCAGACACATTCCCTCTTACTCTATCTCTCCCTTTGGGTGTAATGGTTTGCAATGCAGGTAGTAAGTGGCCATCATGTTCGGTCCATAGTCTACTTTCAGCATGCATCCCTCATCCCGGGCCAGGCCTCCAAGCATCCTTTGCTTGGTGGTCCCTTCTCTATCTCAGCTGCCTTTTCCTCCAGCATATGAGGCCAGCTTCCAAGCCAGGAATCCTCCTGGATGGCCCAAGTCTTTTTTCTTTCTTCATTTTTTATATTTTTATTTATTGAATCACCATGAGAGCAGTTACAAAGCTTTCAGGTCTAAGTCTCGGTCATACAATGAAACACCCGTCCCTTCACCAGTGGCCATTCTCTACCACCAAAAACCCCAGTATACCCCCATCCCACACCCTCCCCCTGCCTGTGGGGCAGATGATTTCCACATTACTCTCTCTCTCTCTACTTTGATCACATTCACTATTTCGACACCAGACCCACCATTATTTGAGATTTTACCCCAACACTCAGATCTGCTGAAAAGGCAACAGTAGACAATTTGTGTTCTATTGCTGGTTATGAATAACATATGATGTCGCGTGGCTGCAGTAGGGCCATGTGGTTTTGAAATTCCGAAATTTTCACACTTAAATCTGGAGGGATTTCTGCCAAAAGCCACTGGGTTTCGAGATTTGCTCCTGAGTCTCTGGGATCATGGCCGTTAAGTAGCTTGATCAGGGGCCAGAGAGGCCTTTCGTGGGCTATGACTTGGGGTCTCGTTGGGACGGGGAGTCCAGGACTGGTTCCACCCCCATCCTGTGAGGCCCAACAAGTTTCGTCACTGCGGGCCCAGGCCTGACTGTTCAGTGGCCTCTGGAGGATGATGGCCACTGAGCTGCCAAGGGGGAGCAGGCGGAGGGACAACACCCTTTCCTCCCTGGGGTGGTCCGGTGACAGTAACCTACTGCAGGGTCTGGGCGCATTTCTGCCAAAAGCCGCTGGGTTTCGAGATTTGTTTCTGAGTCTCTGGGATCATGGCCGTTAAGCAGCTTGATCAGAAGCCAGAGAGGCCATTCGTGGGCGATGACTTGGGGTCTTGTTGGGGTGGGGAGGACAGGCCCGGCTCCACCCCCATCCCATGAATGGCCCAAGTCTTAATGATGACTATGATTCAGTCTTTTTTCTTTTAATTAATTTTTAATTTTTATTATTATTATTTTGGGTCTTTTTTGGGTTACATCCAGAGATACTCAGGGGTTATTCCTGGCTCTGCACTCAAGAATTACTCCTGGCAGTGCTCGGGGGACCCCATGGGATGCTGGAGATCGAACCTGGGTCGGCTGCATGCAAGGCAAATGCCCTCCCCGCTGTGCTACCGCTCTGGCCCCTTTTGATTCAGTCTTGGACGCTACAATCAGGTTGGAGTGGTGCTCAGGGCTCACCTACATGATGAAACAAACATTTTATTGGTGAGTCCCTGGAATGTGTCCAGGAGAAGAGACCTCAGGGCATGTTTAGATTTTCCTTCCAGGAAGGAATGAGTCTGCAGGCTGGAGGCTAACGGGCTGGGGAGGCTTAGAAGTCTCTGGAACGAGGTTCTGGTTTACCAGATGGCTGGGAAATCCCAGTGAGGAGCGCAGAGCAGCAGGACCAACACCTGTTTCTCTAAGACTGACAGCCCCAACCCGAGATTTTTCTATCATCTTATTTTCCTCTTGTTTGACTCTTAAGTCTCAAGCCAGTTGGACACATTCTGGGACATTCTGGAAGCATTCTGATTGGTTCTTTCCACACTTTTAAGCTCTTCATTCACCCCTGGACTCTTTGGTTCTCATTTGTCCTGGAAGGTTGATCAGAGACATAGGGAAAAAGGAAAAAATGAAGGAAAAAAAAGGAAAAAAGAAAGAAAAGAGTGAAAATCCGTTCTCTTATTATTATTTTTTTCTTTGCATAACCTGGCGATGCTCAGGGGTTACTCCTGGCTTTGCACTCAGGAATTACTCCTGGCAGTGCTCAGGGGACCCTATGGGATGCTGGGGATCGAACCCGGGTCGGCCGCGTGCAAGGCAAATGCCCTTTCTGTTGTGCTGTCGCTCCAGCCCAAATATGAGTTTTCTAAACAAATGAACCCTTTCAAATCAACTGGACTGGGAGTAGGGGGTGTCTCCTACGTGTTGAGGAGGTTTCCCTGTTTGGTTCTCTACCAACTGGGTCCCAAGATGCAGTGCTGCTTTAGTCCTGGACTCCCAAGGCTGTACCCCATATGCCTGGGGTGAGCCTGTGGTTCTGGGTTGAACCTGGGTCGGATGTACCCGCAGCATGTACCTAACTGCTGCCCTATGTCTCAAAACAAGTTTTACGCCAGTCCGTACTTGGAGCTAATCCGTCACGAGCTTTGTCGAGTGTGTCCTGTGGCTTCCCCAGAGTTTTCATCCTGGACGGGCTCAGGAGGAACCAACTGGTGAGACCGGAAGGCGAACAGAGGAACTGCCTCTGCGTCGCGAGCAGCTAGACTCTTGGTGCAGGGAGATTTGGCTTGGTCTGTGGGGCGGGCTCTGGAGGAGATTCTGGAAGAATCCACAGCATTCACGGCCATATATATGCATATATATACAGATACATACATAGTATATAGTATCTATGTACATACATAGATACACATGTGTGTATATGTATATGTGTATATGTGTATATGGGCTGGAGTGATAGCACAGCGGGTAGGGCGTTTGCCCTGTACGTGGCCGACCCATGTTCGATTCCTCCGTCTCTCTCAGAGAGCCCGGCAAGCTACTGAGAGTATTCCGCCCGCACGGCAGAGCCTGGCAAGCTCCCCATGGTGTATTTGAGATGCCAAAAACCGTAACAAGTCTCGCTATGAAGACGTTACTGTGCCCGCTCGAGCAAATCGATGAACAATGGGAGGACAGTGCTATAGTATGTGTATATATGCACATAGATGTATACACATACACATATATGTACATCTATATAAATATATATGCACTATATGTATATAGGTATATCTATATACAGATATATATGTATATTCGTATACATAGATGCATATATGTGTATATATATGCATATATTTTTTTCCATACACACACACTTTTTCGAATTTAAAAAAATAAATATCAGCGTTTACCCAAAAGGAGAGAGAGAACAAAAGGGAATTCCCTGCCACAGAGATAGGGTGGGATGGGGGGATGGGGGGTGGGAGGGATACTGGGATCCGTGGTGGTGGAGGGATGGGTACTGGATCATTGTATAACTGAAACCCAAGCACAAAAATTTGTAAGTCTACAACTGTACCTCATGGTGTTTCACTAATAAAATTTAAAATAAACAAGTGAATATCAGGGTTTAGGACAGGAGCGATAACACAGTGGGTAGGGCATTTGCCTTACAGGTGGCCAACCCGGGTTCAATTCCCAGCATCCCACAGGGTTCCCTGAGCACCGCCAGGAGTGATTCCTGAGTGCAGAGCCAGGAGGAACCCCTGTGCATCACCGGGTGTGACCCAAAAAACAAACAAATAAAGAAATAAAGAAATAAATGACCCCAAAAGCAAATAAATCAATAAATAAATATCAGCGTTTGGGAGATGGCTCAAAGGATTACAGCATAGTTTTGCATGTGAGAATGCCGCCTCCCCAAAGAGAAAGTGGATGCTCTTCTTATTCTGGGGGACACAGGTATCAAACAGGACTATCTAGAACAAACACCGTCACCTTAATAATTATGAACATAGATGGTTTTTTATGAGACGTTAAGACGACCCGGCAAATGATGTCAGGAATGTAAATTTTCCTCATTTCAACCTTCCTCACCCTCTGTGCTCATTCTCAGCGTTCTCTGCAGAGATGACAATGGTGCCTCAGGCCACCTGTGAGATCTTGTCTCAGTGAGGCAAACAACAGTTTTGGGGAAAGGAGGAAGAATTGTGTGTGTGTGTGTGTGTGTGTGTGTGTGTGTGTGTTTTGCTTTTTGAGTCATACCCGGCGATGCACAGGGCTGACTCCTGGCTCTGAGCTCAGGAATCACTCCTGGAGGTGCTCAGGGGACCGTGTGGGATGCCAGGGATTGAACCCAGGTCAGCCACGTGCAAGGCAAATGCGCTACCCTCTGTGCTATCCAGCCCCAAAAGGAGGAAGACTTTGCTACACTAATGACTTTTCTTTTTCTTTTTCTTTTTTTTATTTGAAAAAGGAAGAGTCTCACTTCAACACTCAGGACTAGGTGTCAAATTGCTTTATGAAATAAGGAAATTGTAGGGGCTGGAGCCATAGCACAGCATGTAACACACTTGCCTTGCATGTAACCAACCCACGTTCGATCCCCGGCATTCCATATGGTTCCCTGAGCTCCCCGGGAGTGATCCCTGAGCACAGAGCCAGGAGTCAGCCCTGAGCACAGGTCGGTGTGGCCCCAAAACAAAAAGGGAGAAAAATATATTATATGGAGAAGGCCAGAGCAATAGCATAGCGGGAAGGGCGTTTGCCTTGCATGAAGCTGACCTGGGTTCGATTCCTCCATCCCTCTCGGAGAGCAAGGCAAGCTACTGAGAGTATTCAGCCTGCATGGCAAAGCCTGGCAAGTTCCGCATGACATATCCGATGTGCCAAAAACAGTAACAAGTCTCACAATGGAGACATTACTGGTGCCCGCTCGAGCAAATTGATGAACAATGGGAGGACAGTGCTACAGTACTACAGTGCTTCTTCTCTCTCTCTCTTTTTTTTTAAATATGGAATGCTCATGACTTTGTGTGTCATCCTTGCGTGGGGCCCAGGCTAAGCTCTGCATCGGTCCAATTTTATTGTATCTGCTGAAGAAGCAAGCAGTTGGCTATTAAATTTGAAAAATAAAGGAGAACGCGGAGTTTTGATTTTGTTTTTGTTTGAGTTAATTGCCTTAGCAATGGTTGGGGCATATTAACCCACCTTTGTAGGATAACCCTGGTTTGTCCTTTCTGCCTTGCCACAGGGAGCTTAGGTTTATTGGGTTACTCCCATCACAGTGCTCCCATTCCCCTGCGTTTATTTGTAACCTCTTTCTTTGTGCTCTGCTTCCCCAACCGGTCAATCACCTTTCTCTCCTAATCAGAGTCTGTTACCTTGTAAATATTGCTTTTCTCTTCCCCTTAAGTCCTTTGCATAGTTAACTCAGAGCAAAGTCCCTTTTGTATGGACACAGGAAGACAGTTAATGTTGTGCTTTTGTAACTTGGGTGTAAACTGACTCCAAATGATATTCACTCCTGGGCATCTGTTCTCTGGAATTAAACCTCATCTGCCCTTACTCTTAGCACCCTCAGGACAGGGTCCGGACAAGGGACTGGATGGACCCAGGGAAATCTGTGAGCTACGTGCTACCCTGGCATCGAAATGGGCCAGGTCAAAGCGCCATGATGCTTAACTATCAGTTAAGAGCTTGGTCATGGACAAATTTTGTCATGATCCAAAAAGTAATAACTGGAGTAGGACCCTGCTTGGGTTAGGAAAGATTAGTCTGGCTTGAGTACTGTAGTCTGAGATCTATAGGGAGATGTCCCCAGGAGAGTCACCCTATAAGCTTAATGTATCTCTTACTGAGTACTGTGTTCATATTGATGTGCTACCCCCCTCCCCCAATGCAGGGGGAGTTGGAGAGAGACAAGAGAGAGACCAGGCTGTGAGATGGAGCGCGAGGGGATGAGCAGGAGAGACAAGAGGAGACGGGAATGAGGGGCTTAGTGAGACCGAAACAAGTGCATGGGGAGAATGGAATAAATGGCAACTGATCAACCAGCCTGGCCCTCGTCTCCTCCTTTGTCCACCCATTGCATGGGCCATCCCGGGTGGGGAAATGGCGTGAGATCACCAAACACAGGAGGCGAGAGAGACCCGGGGCCGTCCCTAGTCACCCACACACCTTGACCCTTGCATGGATCTAGAAACAGTATCACCTACTCACCCCTCCTTCTTTTTTAACTGCACCACGGTTTGATGAAGGCATGGATGGCCAAGCATTTGCTGTTCCTGCTGTTTTGGTCAACGAGTTCTTTCCTTTGACAAAAGGTACTTGCAAAAGGAGCTCGGTCTTTCTAGAAAGAGACAGCCAAGATGTTTGTTTGTCAAAATTAAAAAAAAACAAAGAAAAAATGCCAAGTTGTACGTATGGCGCATCGCGCTCGAGCGAAAACAGATATAAATATAATGTGTCAGTATAGGAAGAGTGGGAATCTCCAGTATGGAGCATAGTCTGAATAACTCTTACGTATGAAGCTGGGCTCTCCTGGCTTTTAATTTCTGAAGAACTTCCACGGCAATTAAATGACTTGTTCTACCTTGAGCATCTGTTGCTTTGCCAATCCCAAAGCAACAGGGAGGCGTAGAAATTAAGTTCTTGGATGGCTTGAATGGAATTTTTGTGTCTTACAATTGAGCAAACTGGCTTAATGCAAACAGAAGAAACTTAGCAGTCGGGCTGGAGCGATAGCACAGCAGGGAGAGTGTTTGCCTTGCACAGGGCCGACCCGGGTTCGATTCCCAGCATCCCATAGGGTCCCCCGAGCACCACCAGGAGTGATTCCTGAGTGCAGAGCCAGGAGTAACCCCTGAGCATTGCCAGGTTGGACCCAAAAAGCAATCAATCAATCAATCAATCAATCAATCCATCAATCAATAAAGAGCGATGAACCGGGGGCCTGGGCAATAGCACAACAGATAAGGCATTTGCCTTGCACACGGCAGACCCAGGTTCGATCCCCGGCCTCCCCTAGGGTCCCCCGAGCACCGTTAGGAGTGATTCCTGAGTGCAGAGCCAGGACTCAGCCCTCAGCATTGCCAGGTGGGACCCAAAATTTATTAATTAATAAATAAATAAATAAAATAAAAAATTGTGAGCTTGGGGTTCAGGGGATAGGCCTTACATGGGTGAGGGTCTCAGTCCCAATCTCAGCACTGCTCTAGACTCCCACACACCCCCAGGTATGCACCCCCCACCCCCTCAGCACCCCCCAGAAACAACAATAGCAAAATAAGAACAAAAATCAGGCAAGTTGTTTCCAAAAGTAATGAACTAAACAACAACAACAACAGCAACAACAACAACACCTACTTAGAGAGCTTTTTCAAACTCACAGAATTATTTTATTTTATTTTAACTTTTTCTTTTTGGGTCCCACCCGGCGATGCTCAGGGCTGACTCCTGGCTCTGCACTCAGGAATCACTGCTGGCGGTGCTCGGGGACCCTATGGGATGCTGGAGATCGAACCCAGGTCAGCCACGTGCAAGGCAAACACCCTCCCCGGTATACTCTCGCTCCGGCCTCTATTTTATTTATTTTTAAAATATTGTTTATTATTATTTATTTGGAGGTCGTTTCCCACTTGGCGATGCTTAGGGCTGACTCCTGGCTCTGCACTCAGGAATCACTTCTGGTGGTGCTTGATAGACCCTATAGGATGCTGGGGATCGAACCTGGGTCTACCACGTGCAAGGCAAGTGCCCTCCCCTCTGTACTATGGCTCTGGCCCCCTCACAGAATGTTCTAGAAACCTCTTTTGACTGCCTGATCTGAAGGCTCAAGTTTAGGAAAATGTTCAACAAGAATATCAGGTGATGGCACCGGTGTTAGATCCCTGGTACTTAGTTCAAGGACAGCAAGCACCTCCAACATCCTTTAACTGGGACTTGGGACCACTTTGGTGGTGGACAGTGGGAAAAAAGTTGGGGTTTGGAGGTTCCATCCGGATCCCCACCCCCACCGGACCACTCTCTTTGGGGTTTGATTTTGAATAAGGGTTTTCATGCCCTCCAGCCTGCCTCAGTTAAAAAAAATTTTTATTTAGTTAATTGAATGAGATACACAGTTACAAAGTGAAGTAGATATGCAGTTGCAAAGTTGTTCCTGGTTGGGTTTCAGTCGTACAGTGTTCCAACACCCGTCCCTCCACCAGGACACATTTCCCACCATCAATATCTGCATTATCCCCACACTGATCCTGGGGGCACTTTTCCTCTCCCTCTCTCTCCCTCCCTTCCTCCCTCTCCCTCTCCCCCCTCACCCTCTCTCTGTCCCTCTCCCTCTCTCTCCTTCCTTTCGGGCATTATAATTTGCAGTACAGGTACTGAAAGGATTTGCTCAAGCGGGCCCAGTAACATCTTCATTGTGAGACTTGTTGTTACTGTGTTTGGCATATTGAATACGTCAGTCACGGGGAGCTTGCCAGGCTTTGCCGTGTGGGCAAGATACTCTCGGTAGCTTGCCGGGCTCTCCAAGAGGGGTGGAGGAATCAAACTCGGGTTGGCCAGGTCAGCTGCGTGCAAGGCAAACGCCCTACCGCTATGCTATCACTCAGGTATACATCCCTTTACCTCCTTTCAACACACAGTTCCTGTCCAGCGCGATCATTTCCATTTATTATTGTCCTACTGATCCCTTCTCTAACCTAACTGCCCTCCGGCCCGAACACTAGCAAGCAGTGCCTCAATTTTTCGGAATTAAATGTGTTTTGACTTAGTAGCAACTGTGTAGGATGCTTGTCTGACTTAAAGGAGACTAAGTTCTTTCAAAGCAGTACACTTCCTACTATGAGATTTCAGCAACAGTAATGAGACGACCCCTCCGGCCAATTAGCTTGGGTTTGTCCAAGAATTACTTTCTTGAACCAACCACTCTAAGGCAAGGCAAAGAGGGTCATCAGTGAACCCACGGTGACCGCAAGGCTGAAGGTTCACATTCCACAGGGCTCTGATCTTGAAGCATGTGTGTATTTATGGTGGTTTTTTTTTTTAATGTAGTAACAGAGAAAGGCTGGATCCTTAAGGCACCTTGAAAACCAAGTCAGAGAAATGGGATATTGAACACAGGAACTTCTGAGTACCAGGCAATTAATGTGCCTGGCAAGTTGTGATGTTGTGATGCCCTGGGTTCAATCCCTGATACTGATTATATATATATATATATATATATATATATATATATATATATATAGTGATCCTAGCGTTAATAAGTTCTTATATATATGCATATGTATTCGATATGCCAAACACAGTAACAACAAAGTCTCCAATGGAGACGTTACTGGACCCGCTCGAGCAAATCGATGAACAACGGAGGATTGTGATGTGATATATAATGTATATGTTATACATTGGTTGGGCTGGAGCGATAGCACAGCAGGTAGGGCTTTTGCCTTGCACGCAGCCAAAGTGGTTGACCCGGGTTCGATTCCTCAGTGACAGTGATGTTATGCATATCAATATATTATATTATATATTATAAAGGTAAAGGCCCTCCCGTTGATCATCGATTTGCTCGAGCGGGCCCAGTAACGTCTCCATTGGAGACTTTGTTGTTACTGTGTCTGGCATATCGAATACTCTCGGTAGCTTGCCGGGCTCTCCGAGAGGGGCGGAGGAATCGAACTCGGGTCGGCCATAGTTGGCCGCTTGTAAGGCGAACGCCCTACCCGCTGTGCTATCGTATACAGCAATATATATTTACAATACATTATGTATTATTAAACATAGTACATATAATATATATAATGTATTATACAGAATGTATATTATTGTACATAATATCTGTCACGTCACTGTCACTGTCACTGTCCTCCTGTTGTTCATCGATTTCCTCGAGCGGGCCCAGTAACATCTCCATTGTGACATTGTGACTGTGTCTGGCATATCAAATACGTCTCAGGGAGCTTGCCAGGCTCTGCCGTGCGGGCGAGATACTCTCAGTAGCTTGCCGGACTCTCTGAGAGGGACGGAGGAATCGGACCCGGGTCGGCCGTGTTGGCCGCATGCACAAACGCCCTACCCGCTGTGCTATTGCTCCAGCCCTGCTATCGCTC